CCCAACTCCCCTTCAGACCCCCCAAATCCCCTCCAGACCCCCCCAAATCCCCTTCAGACACCCCAAATCCCCTCCAGACACCCCCAAATCCCCTGCAGACGCCCCCAAATCCCCTGCAGACACCCCCAAATCCCCTTCAGACACCCCCAAATCCCCTGCAGACGCCCCTCCCCCAGACTCCCCGCAGTCACCTGGGGGTCGGGGGGGGCAGGGTCGGCAGTGGGGTCCCCAGCCGGCGCCCCCCCGGCAGCAGCACTCGTCCAGAGTCAGGGGTCCCCCCCCGAGGGGCGCCCCGCAGACCCCCTCGTCCCCCCGCCGCTGCCAGCACACGTCCCGCCGCTCTGGGGGGGGTGGGGGGCGCTCCGGAGGGGGGGGGCGTTCTGTGGGAGCGGGGGGAGGGGTCAGGACCCTTCAGACCCCTCCCCATAGAACCCCCAAACCTCTCCTCGCCCCCCTCAAGAAACCATCGATTTTGGGGGGGGCGCACGGGGGGAGGGGGGGGGTCCCCTGGATGTGCACACACCCCCCCCATCCCCCACCCCTCACAAACCTCCGGCCCCGCCGGGGGGCTCAGCGTGCCCGGGGGCAGGGTCTCACCTTTTGGGGGGGCTTAGCATGCCCGGGGGGGGGGTCTCACATTGTGGGGGGGTCTCACCGTGCCGGGGGGGGGGGTCTCACCTTGCGGGGAGGGGTCTCACCTTGCGGGGTCGGGGCAGAGCCGCACCCCCGGGTGGTCCCTGGCACTCGCACCCCCCGTACCCCCTCCCCCAGGGGGGGTCTCATGGTGGGTTTCGCCCACCGGGAGGGGTCTCCCCGTTCCCCCGGGGGTCTCCCCGTGGCCCGGGGGGGCTCTCACCGTGCTCGGGGAGGGGGAGGCAGCGCCGCAGCCCCGGGTGGTACCGCGCCCCCGGCCCGCAGGTGCAGCGGAAGGAGCCGCGCGTGTTCTCGCACGCCCCGTCCACGCAGTTGGACTCGTCCAGACACTCGTCCACGTCTGGGGAGGGGGCGAGGGGGGCGTTCCTGGGGACTCCCCCCGCAGGGAACTCCCTCCCAGGGACCCCCAAAACCCCCGGGGCCTTCAGCAACCCCGGGATCTCCAGAGACCCCCGCCCCAAAACCGCCAGGACCTGCAGGGATTCCCTTGGATTGCAGGAGTCCCCAGCACCCCGGAGACCCCCAGACACCCCAGAGATCCCCAAACACCCCAGAGACCCCTTCCCAGGACCCCGGAGACCCCCAGGCACACACAGGGACCCCCAAACACACACAGGGACCCCTCCCCAGCACCCCAGAGACCCCTAAACACCCCAGAGACCCCTAAACACCCCAGAATCGCCGGCGTTCCCAAGAACCCTCCAACACCCCCAAAGACTCCAGGTTGCTTCTGGACCCCGCTGCTTGCCCCCCATGGCCCCCCACCACCCCAAACCACCCCCAGCCCCCCCGGGGGACCCCCGGGGACCCCCCCCCTCACCCAGGCACTGCCGCAGGGCGCTGTCGTAGTCGAATCCCGCCTTGCAGTAGCACTCGTAGCCCGGCTGGGTGTTCACGCATTTCCCCCCCTTGCAGATCTCGTCCCCGAACAGGCCGCACTCATCGATGTCTGCGGGGGTGGGGGACACCCCCGGGGGGGGCTCAGGGTCGGGGGTATCACCCCGGGAACCCCCAGGGGACAGGGAACCCCCCCCCCCGGGAAGGGAGGGGATTGAAGGGGACAAGGGAAAAACGGGGACCCTCGGGATGGGGGAGGGGCGGGAGGGGACAGAACCCTCCCCCCACCCCGGGGATGGGGGGACAGGGGGGGACACGATCGGGGGTCTCACCCCGGTGTGCGGGGACCCCGTAATCGAGGCCGTTGTCGTCCTGGATGAAGCCCCTCCCGTCGGGACAGAGCGCCACGAACTCGGCTGGGGTGGGGGGGCGGAAAAAAAACCTCGCGGGGAGGGGTCCTGAACCCCCAGACCACCCTCGGGACCCCCAAACCATCCCCGAGGAACCCCCTCGGTGTCCCCAAACCGCCCCCGGTGTCCCCAAACCGCCCGCGGGACCCCTCTTTCATCAGAACAGGGCACCACGAGCTCTCCTGGGAGGGGGGCGAGAGTCAAGCGCCCCCAGACCGCCCCAAACCCCCCAAAAACGGGGTGGAAGTGGGGTCACACCCGGCTGGGGACACCCAAACCCCCCAAAAACGGGGTGGAATTGGCTGGGGATACCCAAAACCCCCAAAAACGGGGGTGGAAATGTCTGGGGACACCCAGACCCCCCAAAAACGGGGTGGAAGTGGGGTCACACCCGGCTGGGGACACCCAGACCCCCCAAAAACGGGGTCACACCCGGTTGGGGACACCCAAACTCCCAAAAAACGGGGTGGAATTGGGGTCGCACCCGGCTGGGGACACCCAGACCCCCCAAAAACGGGGTCACACCCGGCTGGGGACACCCAGACCCCCCAAAAACGGGGTCACACCCGGCTGGGGACACCCAGACCCCCCTGGCGGAGCCCCCCCGTACCCGAGGAGGGGAGGGGGCAGGGGTACACCTCGCACAGGTCCCCCCAGCCCGCCCCCACGGAGCAGCAGCACTCGCCCCGGGTCACGTTTGTCCCCAAAACGGCGTCGCAGAACACGGGCAGCTCCAGGCTCAGGTAACATTCCTTCCGGGGGGCGGGGGGCTCCCGAGCTGCGGGGAGGGGGGATCAGAATCCCCCCAAAGACCCCCTCAGAGCCCCCCAAGAGCCCTTAGAGTCTCAGGGGTCCCCTGAGACCCGAGGACCCCACAAAGTCTCGGAGTTTCAGGGAACCCCCGCTGCGCCAGAGACACGAAGATCCTTCTAGAACCGTCGCAGCCCCCCCACCCCCGAGATTCAGGGGTCTCCCGGGGACCCTCAGACCTCCCTGGGACCCTCAGGAACCCCTCCCCGACCTCCAGGGATACCCCGGCACCCATAAAAAGCTCTTGTCCCCTAAAATTGCCACTCCCCGACCACCTTGGGATCCCCCAGATCCACAGGGACCTCCCCAAAACCCCCGGGGATACCCCAGAAGCCCCCCAAGAACCCCCGGGATACCCCAGAACCCCCCCAAAACCCCCGGGGATACCCCAGAACGCCCCCAAAACCCCCGGGATACCCCAGAACGCCCCCAAAACC